CGATTGAGTCATCGCCACCCACCACGATCCCCTCGATCAGTACACAATGCACGATCTGCAGGGAGAGACCAAAAAGGTTGGGCAAATCCCTACAACCAGCAGCAGGACAGCCAGGAGGACAGTGGTAGTTTTAGTTTACACCTGCTGCCAAGTCTGGACCCTCAAAGGGAGCAAGACTTATATCGCAGCTTTGAGGCCGAGTTCCTGGCCAACACGCAACAAACCAAGGCTGTGCAGGGTAAAGCGTCCACTGGGAGGGAAATGAGGTCGCTACAGCTCCCTGTCTCCCAACAAGGTTTAGGAGTGCTCCCAAACTCTTCGGGTGACACTAATGTTACAGACTCGGCTTACTCTTCTTCTAACTCTTCAACGTCTTCTCTTAATGTCGGAGGTAAGGTGGGAGTCCTACCTGATTTGCGAGATTCTAAACGGACTAATCCTCGCGCACGTGCACTCGAGGACCCTCCCGCCCTTCTCCATAGCCAGATTCGTGGAGGCCTCCCCAATGGAGGGCTCCTGGAGGGAGAGCGATGGGGTGGCAAAGGAGGAGGTCTTCGTAAGCTCCCCGCCATCTCCAGCTCCACAGAGGAAGGAGAGGCCTCAAATCCAGGTCTATCAAGGTCAGTGGGCCTCCCCAAAGACATCAATGGGAGCCTCCCTTTGACGGAGGTGCCAATGGAGAGCCAGCAGGACCTGGAGGAATGGGCTGGGGTGGAGGGTGACGTACCACAAAGTACCAAACATCACCCGGACCTGCCATATGACAATGCTGACCTGTCATTTCCCTCCCCTCCGCCACCTCTAGATGACTGTTCTTATCAGGACTCTTCCAGTGAGAGCTCCTCCATGTGCTTGAGTCTGAGTGAGCCTCCATCCGAAGGTTCCTGCACTCCTCCTCTACCGCTGGCCAATGGGGATACAGAAGACACAGTCATCCTCCGTGCCAAGAAAGGTCAAAAGAAGGCAGAGAGGGTGCCCTCCATCTACAAGCTCAAACTGCGGCCGCGGATAAGACCCCGCACTGACAACAGACCCGAGAACAGCCCATCTCGCATCCCTACACCTGTACGATACAGGAATCATTGTCAGCAGTCTCCTGCCAATTCATCTCCCCTCCAGACCCCACCACAGTCTCCACGTTTAAACAATCACCAACCCTCACACAAAGCTCTGCATCAGGCCTTTGCTGACCTCATCCAACCCCAGCAGCGTTCCCCAGCTATGGGCTCTAGAGAGTGTGCCTATTCTTCAGAGTCCAGCCTAGACAATGAGGCCTGGATGTAGTGAATGATAATGATGATGATGTACACAGGCAACTGACCTTCTCTCATCATATACCGCTTTATAGTCAGATTAGAGCAAAAAAAAAAAAGCACATTTGTAAGACTAAGAGACAATGCACATCTGACTGTTGTGAACAACATGTAGCAGGATGCTGGAATCCTTACTGTCATTTCACTGGAGGCATAGATGTGTCCTAAAGTGGCTAAGAACATACAACACTATTCTTGACATCTTGGACCAACAAAGCCTGTTCTGAAGAGCTACTGTACATGCACCATCTGAGCTATGTTTAATTTCGTTCGAGTCATTTTTCCTTAGATTTGTTCTGTTTGAGAAAGGAAATTACTGCATTTCCCTTTAGGGATCTGTAGTTTTGAATGCTCCTTATTAATGTCCTCATGACCTGTGTTTGAATTCATTCCATGAGGACAAATTTTTAGCTGGTTAAGTTTTCATTTGGTGGGAAGAAGTGTAAAAATCTTATTTTAATCAGGGAATTGTAATGTACAGACTCAGAGTATACTGTATACTGGAGAATAAGATGGTCTAATAATTTTGGTGTAATTTTATGACAAATTTGAAGACAAATGCCTAAATGACGTTTTGACCGTACTTCCATGTGAAATCCAAATTATCCAAATTGGAAATACAATTAAGTGGCTGTGCTGTTCTTTTAGCCCATATCAACTTGTTGAATAGGTTCTCTCATAAACCTTTATGAGAGGACATAATTCACACATCTGTGCAACATCACTGTGACAGACAAACGTTTCATTTGTTCTGTACAAACTAATACGGTTAATGTATAGGTTTATATATGTAATATATGTTCATTTGTTTAAATGAGTGGTAGTGTAATGTAAATATAATTATTATTAATTGACTTTAATATTAATGTACAAAATGTATGCTGTTTATTTCAGTATGGTAATCCTGCCTTAGCTATGCAATGTTGCTATTGAATGTTGCCTTGACAAATTTTCTTGCCTTAAAGTAAGGATGAGAAGCTGTGTTTGTGAAGTAGAGATGAAGAGATGGTGTGTGTATGTATCTGGGTGGTTAAGTCTGAGCGTGTGAGGTAGAGAATGTTTGTTATACTGGATGGATCATGTGTTTTGGCCCATTGTTAACTGTGAGACAATCGCACATGTTTAAGGTCACAGTGACAACAATATCCTGCTTTATGAGCGTTCCTCTGTTTCACAAATTTTCTTGCCTTAAAGTAAGGATGAGAAGCTGTGTTTGTGAAGTAGAGATGAAGAGGTGGTGTGTGTATGTATCTGGGTGGTTAAGTCTGAGCGTGTGAGGTAGAGAATGTTTGTTATACTGGATGGATCATGTGTTTTGGCCCATTGTTAACTGTGAGACAATCGCACATGTTTAAGGTCACAGTGACAACAATATCCTGCTTTATGAGCGTTCCTCTGTTTAAAGTAAATTGCTTGATATATCTGCAAGTGAGAAATGAAGGACATTTAATTAAAGATAGTGCCATATTAAACATCAATAGGATGTTTTCAAAATATGGAAATCACTACAGACTATGTATAGAAATCGTAATCATTCAGGAAATCAGGCCCTTTTTATTGTGAAAAGCCATATTGAGTCCAAAACTGCTTATGAAGTAATGATATTTTCCACTGTCATCATCGGCAGACATAACATTTCTTTTAAAGCTTTATGGCGCCACCAAGTGGTTGATTTTTATTTTTTTATTTTTTACGTTGAGCTGATTGTTACTGGTTATGTTTTGTGTGACTTGAAAGTATAATATGAAAGTGTGACTTGAGTGAGTGCTTATAAATTGCGTTTTTTAAACCTTCATACACATCTAATCTTGAATTGGTACTGGTAGGCGCCATTGAATAAAATAGGAGAAAACATTGACTCCACTTAAATGAATTACACTACACACATATTGGTTTGGCATTGGATTGTTTATTTGTGTTAAATGAGTAAGTTATTAAGCCTTGTTGATTGGTTGTGGCTGAACTGTTTTATCATAAAGGGACAATGTTGTATGTTTCTATATGAATGGATGAATTGTTTACTTTTGCTATGTTCTCTTTCGGGGGCTTTATACAGTACTGCCGTGTATTTATGAGCTCAAGTGTTTTATTGAGAGGTGTTCTGATGTTTGCTGTTTTAGTGAATCAAAAAGGGTCAGAAAAAGTGAGGGAGATTTTATGGAAATGGATTTCAGTGTTCTTTTTTTGCCTCAAGGACTGCAACCATATGATATTACTGGTAGCATGGCCATTGACTCTCCTCAACACCTCTTGTATAAAAGCTGCAATACAATGCATCACTGCACATTGCTTTTATGTTCATTGCCATTTAAACGTCTGTTGTGACACTTTAAGACAATGTTAAATTTCTCAAATAGGTATAAGTAAGGACAGTAGAGCTCTCTGCGGTCTTTCAAATTATATTAATGGTTGCTTTGCCTAATTCTCACTTTAGTCAAACACATACACTCACCACACATTCAGTAATCTTTACAGTATCTAATTATTAACTGCCATACATTTGTACAGTTAACTCATTTTGAGCTCCAGTTGTTTTTATTATGTTCTGCTTTCCAGAAAAAATTACAGAAAGATGTTTCTTTTCTGTGATGACATTCATTATGTTTCTAATCACATTTAGGCATTTTTTTAAAAATAATTTATTGCATGGATGGGTCTGTTTTTCTTTATTAATTATTGACATCAATACTACAAGAGTGTAGATTCACATGTTTTATTTGCTTGAGCGAACCCGTCTGATTTGCATTATGCAAATATGATGTTCAGATGTGATCTACAAAATGCATGTTGAATCTATGTCATGCTCTGGTTTGAGTAAATGAAAAGGCTGTTGGATGATTTGAAATCTGAATGTGTATTGATTTACTTTTAATTTCTGCAGTTTGTTTGACTGATTGTTTTTCTTTAATGGTGACAATGAAATGTAAGGTCTTGACATTGTGGAATTTGTCTGTGTTGAATAGCAATATTGCAAGACCAACATTCCACTGTTCCTTGAAAACCAATTGCTGTTAATTTAATACTTATAATAAAAATGTTTTGGATGAAATGCTTTGTATTTCTTCTTTGGTAGATAAACATAAGACGGGTACAATTACCTATTATAATAGTATTTTAATAATATATAATTAATAATTGAGGGAAGATTCAAAATTCAGTAGAAGAGAAATAATGACAAAAATAGGCAACGTAGCATCTGAAAATGTATATTCAAGATATCTTGATAAGTTGAAAAATGCTTTTGTAAACTTGAAATTACGTGAAATGTCAAATAAGACATTCATTGACGATGATTTTGTTATGATATAGTTATGTGAGGATACAACACTGAATAATCTATAGAACGTTTTGTAATTTCCAATAGAATATAAATTGCAAATTAGGTAGGTTATTCTGTAATGTATGCTGACATAACTATAACATACAATCTCTTAGTATGTTTAAATGAATACAAATTGAAAACCAATTCATATTTTACTGTATGGCATTCAACAGTGTGTAACATGAGACGAAAAGTCCCCTTAATGAAGGCGGAAGACGGAAGTGTGAATCATATGATGACAAACCATGTAAGGTGGGAGGAAAGGAAGAAGGCCGACTTGTACACACTCACTCTTCACTTCGGTAAGGAGCATTTCTCGGTTTAACTGAGGTACGGTGCCTCATTTCCACTTATCTATGGCTTTGTGCGCTGCGTGGTTGGACAGTAATACAGTCCGCTAGATTAAAGGCTTAACTGTGCGCTCCCATAAACCCTGATTAAGAAGGTCATGAAGCTTTAGCCGTTAGCATTCAGCTAGCACACCTTCGACTATCTACATCTCCGCGAGTAGGTTCATTCATCCGCCAAAAATGGAGTGGGCAAGTCAGCTTTGTGTGAGTGAAGGTCCAGTTCGCTCTTAGCAGTAGAAGAAAGACCCGTGGATAATTCTGAATGGAAAATTAGTTTAAAAATGTCAGATTCGGGGAGTAATAAATGGGTTTTGCTAGTTAGCTCTGTGGGTTTACCTAGTGAGACTGTCACCTGCTGCAGTCACCGCTGCGCCACGTATATATTTAACCAGTTGTTGTGATGTTACGGTTGTTGGTAACGTTAATCGTTTAAGATCAAGCGCTGCATCACGTTAACGGTCGTTCAGTGGAGTCCGTCAGCTCTCTGACAGTTGACAGTTACTTTATCTGCACTTCACTGACATTAGCTGGGACGCCACCTCACAGGTTGACGAGAGAGATTATTATTATTCTTAAAAGGGAACTGTCTGAAATGGCTATAGTTTTTAATGGATAGATAAAGAGGTTTACTGTTCCATATATTCTTGTTTATTACTTTATGTGCCTGCCAGCGTTATCAACTTTGAAATACTAACGTACGGCCTTTGGCTTTAGTTTACCACTGCTAAGCTTTGTAAGTCTTTGTTACAAAAATGCTATAGTTATTGTAAAGTTTACATCTCTGTAAAACAGAATTAATGAATATGTGGTCTTCGTACAGTGTTAGAAGCTTTCAGAATATTACACACAGACTCTATCTATCTATCTAGCTGTCTAACTAGCTCTACCATTCAAAAGTGCATTTGATTGATAAAAATATAGTAAAAAATGTAATTTAATATGTTTTAATATTTATTCCAGTGATGGCGAAGCAGAATTTTCAGCAGCCTTGACTCCATGCTTCAGTGCCATATTATCCTTTCTTCTTCTTATTATTAATAATGTAAAAAATATTTGCTTAATAATGTGGTGGAAACCATGATGCATGTTTTTCCAGACTTGTTTGGTGAATAGAACGTTCAAAATAACTATTTGTTTGAAATAGAAATCTTCTGTAGCAATAGCATTATACTGTAAATGCCTTTACTGTCAAATGTATATTGTTATTGATTTACTAAATTGCTAATGATTATAAATTAGTTAACATGGTGCCTTTTTTAAAGGGGTGTAATGATAATATAGTAATATTGTATGTTTGGTAATGAAATACCACAGCAGTCCTTGATCAATGATTTATGCATTTGGAGAGTTAGTGGACTGATAGTGTTGCCTTACTGACTTACTGTGTCAGTATTGTCATTCATTTGTCAAGGGCCATTTAGACAGGTGTGAACATTTACAGACAGGTGCTGTTTCATGGATGATCATAATACAGTTTGTATGGAAATGGTCAACAGGGTTACACAAGGCATTCAAGGTGCACAGATCATAATTCTGCAGCTTCTTTATTGTAAGAATGAAAATGCCTCGTGCTGTTAGTCATTGGGGAAGAAGAAAGGCTGTAAATGCGACAGGTTTTTCCCAACGTTGATAATAATAATAAAAAAAAAAAAGCACCAAATCAGCATTTTAGAATGATCATGTGACACTGAAGACTGGCGTAATGGCTGCTGAAAGTTCAGCTTTGCATCACAGAAATAAATTATAAAAAAAAAAAAGCACCAAATCAGCATTTTAGAATGATCATGTGACACTGAAGACTGGAGTAATGGCTGCTGAAAGTTCAGCTTTGCATCACAGAAATAAATTACATGCAATTACAATAGAAAACAGTAGAATTTAAAAAAAAAACTTTTTAAATTGTAATAATATTTCACACTATTTTTACTGTTTTTAACCAAATAAATGGATCTTTGATAGGCATAGGAGACTTCTTTTAAAAGCATTACAAATTCTTACTGAACCCAGACTTTTGAATGGTAGTATATATAAATAAAAAAACTTGTCATCAAGTCAGCTGAATCAAATAAAATACTGTTGTATCCTAAGGTTTCTCTTCCTCTTAAAAGACCTTTCAGGTGATGGTGAGAGTAATGTTCAATAACAGGAAATGGAAAACTCTTCACAGCACATTTAGAGAGCATGAGAGGGCAGTCACTGCACATAAAGAATATAATTTGCTGACTGAAAGAGAACATCAAGCTTTAACAATGTGTTTTTGCGCAACTTTTTCCCCACTCCACAATCTGTAAGAAACATCAGGGAAGGTATCAGCAGGACAGGGACTTGACTTCCTCTTATTCCCCTGCGCTTGCACTTTTACGGTATCCTACCTGCCTTTATTCTCTTCCACACTTTTCTTATGGTCTTAGGAATCTTCTTTCTCTTCTGCAGGAGAACCGCGGCTTGGGATCCAAGATGACAGACTCCAAATATTTCACCACTACCAAGAAAGGTCTGATGTTTTCCGTTTTGTTTTAAAGATAAGTTTTGGGATTAGTATAGCATTATGTTAAAGAGATTTAGTCATTTACTGTGTCTGTTCTGGCCAGTGCAGATCATCAAGTTCACTACACCATTACACATTTAAATACTGTTAAATAAATCAACATTTAGTGCTTCGATATTTCTGCTCTGTTTCTTTCCGCAGAACCCAGTAAACTAAAGTCTAAAATTGTGTAGTCTTATTTAACTGCAGTCTAAATGAGATTTGGAGTTCTGGCTTTATTTGGATTAGGCACTTGCAGGCACATGATTGTGCCAGAACAGAGTATTTTTTAACTGCAAATAGAGCTGCACACAATACTTGGTCAAAGCCAAGAAAAACACTTTACACAGAATTATGATTATTTTCTCTTTTATTACATAAGATAAACAACTCCTCTAATACTGGCTGTCTAGACTTGCACATTATTTTCATGCTCTAGTTGTGATCTAAAATTCATAAATTCTTGTGTGTCGGGCTGTTTAGGGGAGATCTTTGAGCTGAAGGCAGAGCTCAACAGTGATAAGAAAGAGAAGAAGAAGGAGGCAGTGAAGAAGGTCATTGCGTCTATGACAGTGGGAAAAGATGTCAGGTAAGACAAGTATGCAACATTTATATGAATGTCTCACTGTTTTATATGCTACTCTGTATGTCATCCATCCCGTGTTTCCATTGGTACAGCATGAGTTTACGGAGTTCTGATCTTAATATTTTTGTTTCCAGTGCTCTGTTTCCTGATGTTGTGAACTGCATGCAGACGGATAATCTGGAGCTGAAGAAGCTGGTCTATCTGTACTTGATGAATTATGCCAAGAGCCAGCCGGACATGGCCATTATGGCAGTCAACACCTTTGTGAAGGTACAGTTCAGACGAAACAACTGATAGTATTTTTAATATTTTATCATACAATTTGCACAGGAAGTAGATATAGATTGAGATATTCATTTACTTTTCAATGCAAAACAACTGTAAAATATGCTATGGATTCTAAAACACGCTCTGAAGTTTAGACAGATGAAATTCCTACTCCGGACTGTGAAGTTCTTAAAAGGCGTGACATAAGCCTGGCAGCAGCAGAGAAACTCTCATCTCTATGAGTGCTAGAATATTTAGTCTTTATAGGATGGTACAGTCTGCATGGCAGTCACTCCATCAGCACTAATGAGTTTTTGCTGGCTTCCCACACACCTGAGAATGGAACGAGAGACACATTACTGAAGCAACTAACTAGACGAAGACTAAAGCAAGTAGGCAATAAGGCCCATCACAGCAAATTAGAAAACACAGCAAAAAGTTTACAGGTCCCTCAGTCTTTTTTATCGGTCTCTCAGTGTTGGACTTTAGTGGTGCTACAAACAGCAGAGCTATTAGTTTATTTACTTTTCTCAGTAGACTTTTTTTCATTGCAAGTTTTTAAATTATGCTTTTCAGTAGCAAATTTAATTGAGTAGTTTTTTTTTTCATGGTGGAGACTTTTTCCATTGACTTAAATTGCTTTTATTCTGTGCAAACGATATTTTCTATAACTTTCACAGAAACATTATATGGTATGTTATGTTTATTTAGCTGTTTCACACAGAAACCTGGTTTATGAAAATATGTAGTAGCTTGTAGCAAGGTATTTTTGCCATGTTTGTAACTTGGCTTAGCTAATTGTTCTGTATAGGCCTAGTAGTTGATAGCTTAGTATATATTTATGTACACGTTCATATTTAATACACACATAAATACATTAAATAGTTTAAAAGTGGCAGTTAAAACATTTATAATGTTACAAAGAAGTTTATATTTTAAAAAAATGCTGTTATTTTGAACTTTACATTCATAGAATCCAGCAGTAAATGTGTTTATATGTGAATGTTTTTTCACAAAAAAAATATTAAACAGCATGTTTTCAACATCATTTTTTTTTTTTGACAATGACTGTATTTTAGGGCTAATGTGTGTTGGTGATGTGTTCTCTCCTGTAGGACTGTGAGGACCCAAACCCTCTGATCCGTGCACTGGCTGTGCGCACCATGGGCTGCATCCGAGTGGACAAGATCACCGAGTACCTGTGTGAACCTCTAAGGAAGTGTCTGAAAGATGAAGACCCTTACGTAAGGAAGACTGCTGCAGTTTGTGTCGCCAAGCTGCATGACATTAACGCCCAGCTGGTGGAAGACCAGGGCTTCCTGGACACCCTGAAAGACCTGATCTCCGACTCCAACCCCATGGTGAGGCATTATAACCCAAATAGCCAAATAAGATAAAAAACAATCTAAGATATATAATTGACATGTGAAAGGAACATAAAATCCAAGTCCTGGTTAGATGCTGACAGCATTCCAAAAAAATAATCTCTCAACTTAGATAAATATCCCTGAGTGCATCTGTACTCATTCTAATTCACTTGCCCACACACTTATGTTTGTTTTAAGGGCATCTGTGGGCTTGCCAGTGCCATTTAGCTCTCTCTTAGTCTCCATGGTGTGTAATTACATGCTATTGTTGTGCGAAACTCGAGACCCATCACACACACTACCACTGTATTGAGTTTAATGCCTCTTTTTTTTTTTTTTTTTCCTCCATTAGGTGGTGGCAAATGCAGTAGCGGCTCTGTCTGAGATAGCAGAGTCTCATCCTAACAGCAACCTTCTGGACCTGAACCCTCAGACAATTAATAAGCTCCTGACAGCCCTTAATGAGTGCACCGAGTGGGGCCAGATCTTCATCCTCGACTGCCTGGCCAACTACACGCCCCGTGATGACCGCGAGTCACAGAGGTCAGAGGGCAATGTTATTTCATCACTCCTCTAATGAAGTCTACATAATACATAGACGCTAGCTTCACTAATAAAGCTGATCTAGTGTGTCACCTAGTATCTGCATTGATTACCTGAATTGAATTGAATTAGATCAGAGTTGGCTTTGAATCACTGTTGATTCAGTTCCGCATTTTAAGAATCAGTATCGGATTGTTCAAATGTCGATTGCAGTTTGGAAAATCAGTTTATATTTTCTACCAGCCATAATTCAGGCATTATTAAACTGCCCAGTATGTTTTTGGCGTTAAATATTTGTTTTGTTTTTTCCTCTGCCTTTTTGAAGCATGTTTCTCTCTCTCCTCCCACAGTATCTGTGAGCGTGTAACTCCACGGCTGTCCCACGCTAACTCTGCCGTGGTTCTGTCTGCCGTGAAGGTTCTGATGAAGTTCATGGAAATGCTTCCTAAAGATCTAGACTATTACGGCACTCTTCTGAAGAAACTTGCTCCTCCTTTGGTCACGCTGCTCTCAGCTGAACCTGAACTGCAGTATGTTGCCTTGAGGAACATTAACCTCATCGTACAGAAACGGTAGGTACAGAGCTGTGGAAAATAAATGAGTTTATGTGAAGTGATGATGGTTTGGGTATTTCAAAAGTTAATGCACAAATAATTATATTGTAAATCAACTTTATTGTATATTTCTCTCTTTTTTTTCCTCTTTTTTTAATGTTTCTACCAGCCCTGAAATTCTAAAACATGAGATGAAGGTTTTCTTTGTGAAATATAATGACCCAATCTATGTCAAACTGGAGAAGCTGGATATCATGATCCGCCTGGCGTCTCAGGCCAACATTGCTCAGGTGAATGAAACTGCACCCACACCACCACACTTCACTAATGTAAAACATGATCTCTGCCTGATCATCTATGTTCATACATTTTTCTGTGACTCCACCCAGAATACAGTGGGGTCCAAAAGTCTAAGACTACTAATGAAAATACATCTGTTTTGCATTTTTGTAAAAAAAAAAAAAAAATGTAAATAACAAATCAACATGATTTTTACTATGTCTAAGTATTTGTTTTTTCCTCTTTTGCATTAATGACAGCAGCAATGTATATTTATGGTCTGCCCAATTTTTAATGTCATGAGACAATGATTTTTGTCATGACAAAGAGGGAATATAATTAAATAATTAAATTATGTCTTATATGTACTTACAAATTTGTTTAGCCTTTCTTATTTTTTCTAGCCTTTTTATCGTTATTTAATTGTTTTGTTTATTAAATTTTAAATCTGTGTCCATGAAGCTGAAATGGCAATAAACCTAAATATTATTACTACTACTACTTGCGTTTTATAATATCCTTCATAATTTTTATTCTTGTTGTCGTTTGTGTAGTTTTTATTGTTTTTCCTTTTCTTTTCTTTTTTAAATCCCAAAACTGTTATTTCCAAGTTTAGATCTCTTTTCAATCCCATATGTTCCCATCACTCACCTTTGGACCCCACTGTTTATCACATGAACATTTAAAATGTATGCTTATGAGAGTCTGTGTTAAATTTCTGTGTGTTTGGGTGGTGTAGGTCCTGGCTGAGCTGAAGGAATATGCCACTGAAGTGGACGTGGACTTTGTGCGTAAAGCTGTACGAGCCATTGGTCGCTGTGCAATTAAAGTAGAGGTGAGCAGGCCTGACCCTGATTAGGATAGCATTATTATTAACTTAATTAACACTGACAGTCTAATGAGTGTTAATTTTAATTGTAAAGTTCACCACTCCTAATGAAAGGATTCAACCTGATGTGAAACCAAAGCCAACTGCTTCTTTGGTTAACTGATGATACCATTTATGCTTTAGCAGATTAGCTTATCTGTTTTTCTGTCCCTCCTGTCTTTGTTACAGCAATCAGCAGAGCGTTGTGTCAGCACACTGCTTGACCTCATTCAGACCAAGGTCAATTATGTGGTGCAGGAAAAAAAATTAAAATTAGATGAGTTTTAAACTAATGCACTGTCTTCACTGTATCCAACGCACACACACGCTCAGTCACTCACACAGATCACGTTGCGGCCGCACTCAGACATTCAGGAACAAACTTGATGAATAACACTTTTCTGAGAATAGAATATTGAAGTGGAGATCGCTAAACTGCAAGCTTACCGGTGTTTTCAGAAAGCAAGCGCGTTTATCCACAGCGGAGAGAGCGTGCGTGCACATGGTTGCCAGGTTGACAAATATAAGTAACACATTTAGCAGATATTTCCGTATTGCGCAAGTGTGAAGCTCTGTTTCGGGGATTGTCTCTTTATATCTGGCAACCCGGTTGTGTTCCGCTGCGGCCAGATTAAACCTTGTTTGTAACCTATATATTATGCTCTATTCATTATTTTTTTTAGAAATCTCGCACTTTTCTACTCAATTTTAAACGTTGTTCTTGTATTCAAATTAAGCGCGGTCCACTGCTGCACACGTGCCACAATATCGATACAGGGACAGCTGTATCGATACTCGTATCGTCAAATCTCTGTGACTATACATCGTCGTATCAATGTATCGAACACAGCACTAGTAATGACTACTGAAATTTTGGTATCATAACAATGATACCATACTACCCTAGTGAATACTGTAATGAACTTGCATGAACTTGTCTCTTGGAAAATCGTGTTACAGGATTTGTCCCTGTGTTAATATTTTTCACGCTTCTCTTTCAGGTGCAACTGCAGTTGCTGACAGCTATTGTGAAGTTGTTCCTGAAGAAACCCACTGAGACCCAGGAGCTGGTGCAACAAGTGCTCAGTCTCGCCACACAGGTGAGATATCCACATGGGCACTTATCAAAGCACACGTTTCAGTGAGAAAATGACTCTGCACATATACTTGCTCACACCTTCAAGGACGCCCTCTGTAGGTGTTGCCAGATCTCTAAAGCAAGGCCGTTTGGCTTTCTGACTCACTCTGAAGAAAACAAGATATTCAAAAAAAATGTTACTCAGCACCCTGATACATTTATTCTTTTTAACAAAATTCTGTAATTGCTTTTTGAAACTACAGGCAGACAATAAGAGGATAAACAAACCACAAAATGGAAGACTTTTAATTAGTAAACATGTCTCAAATGAATGTCAAGTGCACAGGAAACAAAGATGATGATTATAAAAGCATCAGCAGAGGGATTAGTGTCCTGCTCCTGTGCCTCTGTTAAACTACATGACCTGCTCTGCTTTAACATATTATATACATACATATGTACATATTTGTGGCATAATGCAATGTAAATAGTAAACCACCATTTGGGTTAGATTTTGTTGGCCAGAGTTTTGAAACCCTGTACCATTTCAAAACAACAGGTTTATATTTATTATTCTATACGTATTATATATTTATGTATTATATACATTCTTCCTCTGTGCCAGTTAGGAATTTAATTGCTATTAACAGTTTTTTTTTTTTTTTTACATCATCAGAATAAGCTTTTTAAGCCACAGTGTTGCAGAATAAGGACACCTTATTCTTTTTTTCCAGTTAAAGAAAGTGCTGCTAATCCATTAATTTCAGATGGATGCAGCACAAACGTGCTTGCTTGACAAATGAGTCATGTTTGACAGTAATAATTTTAATCAATCTCCATTTTAATGAACATGAACATTCACCCAACATGAATATAAACCTATAAACTATTCAATAGTTATTCAAAAGACATACACAATGAGTGATTAGGACATGATAGTCAAATGTGTGGGTTACATACATAATATGTAGTTATGCATAGAAATGATTAGTTGCTCATAAGTCCTTTTAGCATCATTTTGGTGCATCTACATCTGTAAAAGACAGTCTCTCTGTCGTTCTGTGAAGGTGAGGATGTGCTTTGTGAGGAACAAAAGGTCTAGAAGGAGCCTGGTCTTTGTCCTGGGTGGGGGAAACCACCCAACGAAGTCTCTACTAATGATTTCCCTCACGTGATGGTCATGATGTTATCTCTTCAATCATTAATCTTGGGTTTCTTGCCCCAAAATTGACAATCTCCTTCCTGAGTTAGGATCATCAATGTGTTCTTTTGTTTTAATGTTGCAAGCTGTTCTGTGAAAGAGTTGGTTGGTTAGGCTTGCTTCAGACTGGCTGGTGCTAGGGTATCGTGGACAGATTTATGACGTTGTCTTGTTGTCCTAGGCCTCTTTGTGGAATTTGGCTCTTTGGGTTGTTTTAACACCAATCTGATTGAATCTTAAATTGTCTGATTCACTCTGATACCCTACAGTGTGAACAAAGCTTCACTAAGTATCGTTTTGTAGTGTGACTCCATCCAATAACTGCAATAAGCATTGTGCTTTGTTTATTTTAATATGAACGTATCAGCTTTCAAATTTTCATCACAAAATCTACTGCAGAAAGATGTCAACAAACAGCTTGTAAACAATATACCATGTTACGTTGTATTTAAATCAGGAAAGCCATTCAATGTCCATAGATCAACTGTCCACTAGAAAAAAAATTAATTTTAATTAAAAAATTTAAACTTAACCTGTTAGTGATGTCTCTGATTGATTGTATGTTTGAATAAATCTGTCATGAATTTTTTTTTATGACAGCCAGTTTAAATTATTATATTTCAACAATGAATTGGAGTAGAAACATACGGAGCCCCTAAAGGGACATGGTGGTGGAAAAAAATCAGATTGAGTGAAAAAATTTGGGGTGGGAGGAAAAAATATTTGTCAGATTTTTTGCGTTCTCTCGCAAAACTTTTGCGTTCCCTCGCAAAACTTTGCGTTCCCTCGCAAAACTTTTGCGTTCCCTCGCAAAGATATTTGCGTTCCCTCGCAAAACTTTTGCAT